TTTGCAAGTGGAGAGACTCTAATTAGAAAGCAAGATCTGCCACTTGCGAGTTTAATGACATACAGTATATTGGAAAACCTCATTTTCCTCATCTTAAAACAGGGATGATAATGACCTTGTAATGAAGATTTAGTGAAGTAAATGAAGTAGTGTATGTAAATTATGCAGCCAGTCCTGGCACACAGTAGTCATTTCATAAACCTCAGTTCCCTTCCTTTTGACTAGATGCAGTTTGATTTCACGTAAAGAAAGACACAGGGCTTGGGAGGGGGGCCCCTCTGTTTGCCAAACACAAATGTTCTTTCTGCCCGACACTTCTGTCACAGCTGGACCACATCTCCCAAGCCACTTACCTCCTCTCTTTGTGTCTTGCCTCATCTCTTCTACAACAGCATGTATTTACTTCTCCTGGCTGTGAGAAGTGTTGGCTGATGGGGCATCTTTCCCACTAGGCTGTGGACTCCCTGTGGCCTGGGCAGTGGCTTTTTTCTCTGACTGTCTGGTTCCTAATTCAGGGCATGCTTGTGCTAGTGGTTGCCTCTATGGCTAATCTGCAGGTATGGGTGAGCAAGAGACAGTTCTGTTATGTCTAGCCACTTACCTGTGGAAACTTTTCAGGAAAGCTGGAACAAATTCTGAGGTTAAATATAAAGAGGGAAACACCTAGAAAAAGCTCTGTGAAATGGAGTGAAGTGGGAGATGATCTCAGGAAAGTGGTCTTCCCTTGCTCAGAAGATGATATTCTGAACTCCTGGGTTCTCCAGGGTTTCTGAAGTCCAAAGATATATTTAACCCTCATTTGAAGATCTTTATCTCCTCTAGGGAGCTGTTGCCGCTCTCCTTCCTGTGCCACCACACTCATGTATGTCTTCGTGGGCCCCCTGACTCACGCTCACGTCACAGGCTGTTTGTCTGGCTCCCCTTCTGAGCTGCTGGTTCCCTGAGTGCAGTGTGCTACTTCTCCACACACATATCTGTAAAGCAGGACACATACCTGACAGCCACACTGTGTGCAAAGGAGCAACAGGACATTCGTGAGCTGGGTCTGGGGAACACTGACCCAGGGGTTTTGGATGTCTGTCAGGAACCTCCTGAAATTGTATGGGAAGTTGTGTGTATATGTTCATAAATCTGTTTCGCTTATGAGAGAGTCCACAGTTTACATTAGATTCTGAAATGTTTTCATGATCCTGCAAATATTAAAAACAAAAACAAAAAAACCCAGCATACTCATGTAGAGATTTTCTACATACTTGTAAGTTAAAGCTTATGTTTTCAGTCGCTGGCAGACATTTTTATGCTCCCTTGCTTTCCAGGTGTGAGCTAAAGCTTAGAATAGCCTACAAGCTCTGTGTTGGAGCCATGGAGGGCACTTCTGACCTGGGGGCTGCTGATGCATCCTGGAGGGCCCACTTGGCCTTTCTGAGCTTCATTTTATTTTCCATCTATTAATTTAGGTTTATAATGCCCTCATGTCCTACAGGAATGTTGCATAGTGAATAGATAATGGGTATTCAGGCATTTTTAAAACAGACAAGGGCTATACAATTGCAGAATACAAGTATTACTGTTACAGATGAGTCCTTTCGTATTTACACAGTGCTGAGAATACAGTCAATAAATAGGACATGAAAATGAACAGAAGAGTTTGTTGGAGTGAAAGGGCTCGAGGTGTAAAGCAGTAAGTCTTCAGGTCTCACAGATCCTGCAGAGGACCTGGTATTGAGGCCTAGAACGCAACCAGAGGTACCACGAAAATTATTTTCAAACAATGGTAAAAGTAGCAATGACCTTTGAGATCCCAAATCCGTTTGCTTTAGTTTCCAGAAGAAATTGAGACTTAGAGAGATAGAAAGGAGCCTTTTCAGAAGGGCTTGAGATTCCTCCTCATCACTTTTAATGAAGACCAAAAAAAAAAAACCACCGCTTTTGGTCTTCATATCATCTATTTGCTGTCTTCTTAAAAATGGTACAGCATTCACACTATGGTCTTAATTCTCTCATTGGGGCCACTTAGAGGCCTGAAATTCCTGGAATATGCTGATCCTGTACTAGACACAGGCATAGCACACTATGAAAACTTCCTATTTCCCAAGCACCTTTTTGCTTGGAATGTCCTCTCAGCCATTACATCGGAGCACTGGGTATAGATTATTGCCATCCCTCTCAGCGCTCCTTGACACCCAGAGAGGTTACTATGACTTCTCCAAGTCATAAAACTCAAATGTCCAAAGCAGGATGAAAATCCAGGTACTCTAATTTTCTGTTCTTCCAGCCACTACACAGTGTCCCTGAAGAGCACCTCTGCTTGATCTTGGCACATTTACTGAATCAAACTAGAAGACTTTATCTACGAGGAAGAGATTTTAGCTTTAAATACAATTGTACTTAATGCTAAAAAGATTGTGTTTATGTCCCCTCACACTCTAGGCCACATTCACCTGGAGAAAGGCTAAATGTCATCAGAACCCTTCCCAGATCCTAATAGCTGATAAAACATTAACCTGGAATTTTTTTGTATTTTTTATTTTTTTGATTAATGGTTGTATATGGTGAGTGTGTGTGTACTATAATCTATCCATCCATTTTAACAATTTGCAAAAGAGGAGTTTAAAATTACATTTAATCATTGCTTTATAATGAATGTTACTTAATTAAATATTACTTTGAAAACAGACTTCTCTTTTTCTGTAATTGCATTACTGTTTTGAGGGGAGGTTTTGTTTTGCTCTTTAACCTGATTGTGTGTATTTGGAAAGTACCTCAGCACAGGGTATCCGAAAGCAGAAAACTCTGGCTCTTTTCCCACTTTCCATTCTTTCTTCTGTATAGATGCCAGATTCCTTTGGGAAATCATCATTTGCTAAAGGTCAGGAGAGAAAGGAGGGGCATTCTTTAGTGTACAGTTACTGCTAATTGGAAACTAAACATCTGTAACCATGTCAGAGTTATTTGTATTTGAAAAGAAACATTTATACACAGAGCCTGTTTAGTAACATAAAACACTATACTACAAAGTGTGTGTGTTGGAGGGCTGGGGGACAGACAGCTGGGGAAGCTTCCGACAAATGACTGTGCTGAGTGAGGTCATTTGCTAATTAAATCTCAAAGTATTTTCAGAGTATCTTCTTTCCTTTATCGAGTGAGGTTTTCTCATCACCATCCCCCAAATGTCCTCTGGGCCAATGCAAATGTTTTACTGCATTTGCCAATTACAGATTAAACATTTAATCTTTTAAAAGGAAAAATAAAGGAGAAAATGGGTGAGTTGGCAGAACATAGTCAGAGACCATGGGGAAATCTCTAGTTGCCTATCTCCCTTTAGACTTCAGTGTCTCCCCAAAGTACGGTTCAAGGCAAGCTCTTCTCCATCCTGAAAGTGTGTGCTTGTTGACCTCTCTTGTAGACTACATTCTTAGGGGGAAGAATGACACAATGTTTTGACTTACCCTGTTCCTCTTTTCTCCTCCCTCCCTACCTCCTTCTCTCTACCGTACTCCCCACAGTGAAATTCTGCTTCAGTCATTCCATTTGTGTAGAAATTGTATCTAGTTTTACTGTCACACTAAGATAAATGTCAGTGATACCTTTGAGATGTTAGAAACATTTCAGTCATAGGGCTTAGTCCCTCTCCTACAAGGCTACGTGGCCCTAATGGCCCAGATCTTACCAGTAATTCCTTCTTCGAATACTAGTTAATTTTGAAAACAAACAAAACAAGAGATCAACTTTTCTCCTGCAGAGTCTGCTATCTTCTGATCTTCGCCTCCCTTGTCTTGGCATCTGAGACATTTCTGTAAGTTGGGTTACTCTTTTAATTGGATGAAAGATCATGAAGTCTTGAGAGTTCTAGTCAAGACCTTATTTAAACTAGGACTTAACTATATTGGGCTTTCCTCTCAAATAATTCTTTATCTGTGAAGACTGTCAGGTGCACTGTTTCAACGAGATGGTTGTGGACTCTTGACTTCTGAGTGTTTAGAAAGTCAAGAGGCTCTTAGATGACCTGCCTTTCCAGTGACCTTTGTAGAATCTCAAAATACCACTTGCCTATGACTTTCACTCATTTTAGAACTGGCTCCTATTCAAACTCTTTCCATGTGAGTCTGCCCAGTGGCCAGGATCTAGTTACTTGAGGGTCCATCTCTTGTTCTCTTGACAATAAGTTCAGGTTATGTAGTCTGCCCTTTGTAGCTCCCCCCACTCTGGCCTCACCCACTTCTCAGCCTTCAGTTCCACTGTGGTCCATGAGCACCTACTCCAACCAGATGTATCTACCTCTACCTTGAGCATTTCTATTTCTACCTTTGCTTTATACTACTGTCCCTTGTTGAAACAACTTCCTGGTTTCTTGTGGCCTAGTTGAGTCATGCTTGCTTTCCTCAGTTCCCGCTACAACCCACAATCTTATTCTCCTATGGCCATAATGTCAAGACCACTTGCCTATCGTTTGTCCAGTACTGTCTTGTGCTTTGGTCTTTTAAAATATACTTCTTACCTGTGAACCAGAGAATAGGCTCTTCAGAGAAAACAGTGACTGTCTTATTTTTCATGGTGCCTTTGATCATTATGAGTGCTCAATAAAATAAAATCAGTTGTCTGATAGTTGAGAGTAAGCCATTTTTGCTATACCTGTTCATTGTTTATTCCCAAAGCCTATCTGCAGTTATCCCTGTAATGGAGTCATACCTATTAATGATGTTTATAAGAGAAGGAAAGTCACCTGTAGAACTAATGTTGATACAAAACACACACACACAAAAAAAAAAATCATTTGGAATAAGGGAAGTATAAAAAAATCATTTGGCGTAGGGAGCAGCTTGGATGTCCCAACTGGAGCTAAATAGAACATTGGCATATACAAAGGCATGTTGAAATGAGTATTTTTTATTGGAGTGTCATTGATATGAAATCTTAAATTGGTTTCACAGATACAAGTGGTTCAACAGTTACCCATATTATCAAATCCTTGATGGTCTTATGTTTTTATTTCTTTCCAGATGTGGTCGCTCACCTGTCTACCGATCCCGGGAAATGGCAGCTCGAGCCTTGGTCCCTTTTCTTTTGATAGATGAAATCCCTAATACTGTCCGAACTCTGTTGGCTGAACTTCCCAACTGCACTGACCAGCGTTTCCGGCAAAACCATATTCACGGGACTCTTCTGCAGGTAGGTAAAGTTACTTTGTGTGAGTCAAAAGAGTAAGTCAGTCAGTCAGTAAGTTCAGTCAAACACCACAGGATGAACTTTGGTTTCTTATGTACTGTTAGCAGGTGAAGATTTGATACATGAGATTTTAACATTACCTGTAGAACTTCTTCTACTGCTGAAAAAGCAGGTATTTCATAGGTGTACTTTTTTCATCACAAACACGAATACAGTGTCACCCCGTATTCAGTCACAGCATCTTTTGCATTAAATCCTGTTTTTTACAGCCTGCCTTCCTGTTTGGACTTACCTCTCTGAGCCAGATGAAGTTTTGTGTTTTCCATCAGGAATGCCTGCAGAACATTCTGGGCCACTCCCTATTCACGGTGGCATTGTGAGCATTCCTTGAAAGAGAGGTTAGCCCCAGAAGCACTAGGAGAGTTTGAACACAGCAAGGAGAGTTTGCCCTCTGGCATAATACCGTAGTACCTGGAAATACCAAACCCTACTTTCCTATTTTTCTCTGTGCTACAAAAGAGACTTTTTATTTTGAATAAATAGAAATACAATTTTTTTATTGCTTTTAACTCAACATTTCTTCTAGAAAAGACTGAAGTACCACAAATAAATAAGAAATAGACTTCTTACTGAAACTGTCCTTTTAAAATCCTACTGATAAACTTGAGACAGTTACCTTTAGTGAGAATATCTGCTATTCACATGACTGCTGGGGTCACTCACATTGTGGTAGGGTTCGGGGTGGACTTTAATATCAAGTTATGTTTCTAGTTTTTGAGCAGAGTTGAGAAATGCCTTGAGATCTACACCGCTGACATGGGAGGTGGTGTGTAGAATGGTTAACAGCATGGGACTCTGGAGCCAGACTATCTGGGTGTCAGTCTCAAATCCACCCCTCACTACCTGCACATCTGTGTCTGCCTGTTTGAAATGAGGGTAATAGGAGTATATACCTCACGGGGATTTTGTGAAGAACAAATTAATTCATGCATACTTTATATTGCTTAGAATAGTACCTGGTACATAAGAAGGTACATAGTTATTGTCATTATCGTAGTTTTAATGAGAGTGTACTATAATGAATTAGTTACTACTATTTTTAGTAACTAATTCCCTCTAGGTGAGAATGCAAGCTAGGCTTACCTTCCTGCCTCCTTCCTTGGTTATTTTATATATTCAAGAAATATTTACTGAATGTCTCCTACATACGACTGTATCAGTCAAAAGAGTAAGTCAGTTCTTTTGTTGAAAGAGTCAAGGACAAAAAAGACCTGAAAATGGACAATCATAGTACAATGTGCTAAATGCTAGGGGACCTCTTAACAGGGCCACCTGACTGGTCTTGGGGAAGTCAGAGAAAGCTTCTCAGAGACAGTGACATCTAGGTAGAGAGCCAAGGAAGTTAGCCAAGTTCCCATGCAGTGAGAAGAGCATATAGAAAGGCCCAGGGTGGGTAAGAAGTCAGACCATCTGGGAACCGTAAGTTTGGGTGGGACTGAAGTTCTGGGTTGACTGGTCTCAAATTGGTCTCAGGATTTCTCTACCTTCATAAAGATCATTGAGAATCCCAAGACATTTAGAAACAAACAGAAAATCTTAAAACACAAGAACTTATACGCACACATTCCATTAGTCATTAGAATGATGACATCATCACACACCTTGTAGACTAGCAAATTCTACCGTACACTTGTGAGAAAATGAGAATAAAAGAGGAAAAGAATGTCTTACTATTTATTTTGAAAATAGTTTGATCTTGCAGATCTCCTAGAAGGATTGTGTGACCCCCAAAGGTCTCAGACCAGATCTTCCGGTCTGTATTATATATAATATTAGTCTTTGGTGGTTTCCTTGGTACAACTTCTTAAGCACTCAACTCGGTTGATCCTCACTGTATCCCAGTGATGCAGAGAGGGGCAGGAGTTAGTGTCTTCATTTTTAAGGTGGGACCCTGAGGCCTGTTCAAGTTAGACCTCTTGATTCTGTCAGCCTCTGCTACTTCTTTGAACTGAAGGGGTTGGCAATAATGAGTAATGGAGAGCAAGCTTTTCAAAGATTCATGAATTATGCAATTGAGTTACATGGAAGGCTCAAGTTGTCAAGGAGGGGATCAGATTTTCACTTTTGAAGATCCATTCTTGGTTGAACTATGTCAGAATTGGTGAGGTTGGAATTGCTTCTTGGGCTCTTTCATTAGGACACAAATGGGCCTCCCAGCCTAGTTCCCCACATACACCATTAACAGGTCTAGGGTGCGTTTCACCACTCTACCCAGCAACAAGACATGGTCTTTTGCACTGTCTCTGGGCTGCCTTTGATATTCGCAAGTTTACTTTTTTAATACATAAGATGGGAAACACTGTAGGAAGGTAAAAACTCTGGGGGTGGTTGTGACTATTGCTCCTCTTCCTGAGTGTTGAAAAAATAAAGGGATTGTTGGAAAAAGACCGACAATGTGGGGATTGGATGTTTGGTATTGTGTTGGTGTTTGTCAAACAGATTCCTGGCTTTATCAAGATTGGGTTATCCTCTGGGTGAAAAAAGGGAGTCAAAGGCATGTGAAAATCTTTTTGTCATGTCCATTCGGGTGTGTCTCATCTGTGTTGTAATAACTCTGTTTCATCCAGTTGTTCTCTATGGGGAAAGCAAAGGGGTTAAAATGGGGAGGGCTCTTCTCTTTCCTTTCTGCAGCTTATAGATTCCTTCTCTGCATAAAGCTACCTTTGAAATCTTAGGTCTGGCCCTGGAAAAGAGATGTTTGGGATTGAGAGGAATGATAATCTCCATGGGACTTTCATAGCCAGCTAAATAAATATAAAATTGTTATTTTTTCCAAAAGCAGGAAATCACTTTGTAATCAGAAAACAAATTCTTTCACAGAACATAATCTTGAATTATACATTTTGACTTCTTTGAAAAATGTTTATCAAACCTCAGAGTATTTCTATAGTATACCTTGAAAACGAGAAATATGCTAATCTCTGAATTTTGGGGGACTATGGAAGAAATACTCCAATTGTAGGACATGAGAAAAAAGAAAGAACATGTGGGATTCATTTCTTAATCATTTTAAAAACCAGAGGTTCATAATTACAATTTTTAAATGGATGGAAGTAATACACATCAGAAAAGGTGAGATTACGCAGCAGGTTCATAAGAGCCCACAGTAAATGACATTAAATCTCAATAAAGGCTAGATAAGATCCATGGACATTACCTCATTTGGGAACAACACTGGCAGAGCTACCCTGTCTTTTTAGTAGAATTAACCATCTGTTTTTGTTGCCAAATTCTTCATGTTAGGGACTTAGCATTACTACTAGGTTACTTATCACTCCTGAGAAATCCTATTGGAGTTCAAAGAGTTCCCTTGTGTTGAGGAAGGGAACATGAGGGGAGATTTATTCTGATTCTTGGGTACTTAACTCGTAGTTTGGTGTTTCAAAAGGAAATATATACCATTTGAAGTAAAAGTTTGAATTTTGAGTTTTTTAATTTCCATCTATTCCAATTATTTTTTCTGAAGGTATAAAAGCATAGAAGGTAATCCCTGCTTTTTCTTTAATTAAGCTCTTTTTTGAAATGGGTGGAACATGGTGAAGTGGACCGTTGCAATAGTTTAGCTTCTATGAAAGCAGAAAAGGCACTTTTGGCATTTATCTGAACATTCTAGCTAAAGGTATTCTTTTTTCTTTAGTAAATCCAAATAATCACCACAGTTCTACACATCCCTTTGCTGGTATTAAATTTTCTCAGTTTTTGCCAGCAGAATCTGTTGACCACTTATAGTCTTTTATTCCCACCCCCTATCCTCCTCTTCCACCTGAACTTGGAACCTTGATTCCTTGATTCTGCACTTTGAGGATTCCAAGTCAAAAGGTCCCACTTTCCTGGCTGGGGGTCTGAACACTTGGGTTGACATGATATATTAGCCAAGATGGACTTCAGATGGCCTAGGCCCACACTTCAGAAAGTTTGCCATAAGAGAAGTAAACGAGCGTTTGGAGCTCCTCCTGCACTCCACGTGAATTGCATGTGTGAACTTGTTAGCACTGTCCGCCTGCAAGGGAGGTGTTACTGGCTCCTGCCCCTCTGCTCTATCCCAGTTTCTGATGAGGAAATTGAAGGAAGCCTGAGAGAGTGACTTGCATAAAGTCACAGAGGTACTCAGAGGATAGTGATAAGGTATTAAACTCTGAATCCTGTGCTCTTTTCTGTTTAGAAGTGCTGCCTTGCTAACAGTTTATGTGTATAACAAATTTTTAATACCAAAGGGAAACAAACCCAGAATCCATCTTTGCTCTGTTTTTAATCCCTTTTCACTCCATTGGTCTCTTTAAATCTAATTTGACATGATACTACAACACTGGAAGCAAAGTAAGTACATTTATATCTTCATAAGAGGCAATCAGTGAAATCCGGAGAAGCTACAGCTGGTAAAGGACTTCCCTCCCTCTGCCCACCTCCTTCTCATCATTTCTCTGGTTTCTCACTGAATACTCCTAACCTGGAATCCTCCCTTGGGACCAAGTGTGCCATTGCCATCCCTTCTGTCATCTTTAAAGGTGTGACAAAGCTTTTGAACATGGATAACCATATGAATGTGTATCCTTGGCCTGGGAGCTGATGGGACCGTGAAAAGGTGACAGGGTTGAATTCAGTTCAGCAGACACTGTGGTACGCGTACACAGTTCTGGGTGCAGGTGAAAATGAGTTTGCCTCTAAGGCTCTTACCTCCCAGTGTGGAGAGCTATGGGCTAGCAGCCAAGTGAGCCCACTGCCCAGGGACCAGGGAGCATATGAGTAACAGAAATGAACACAAAGCAGAAGATACAGCAGCCAGACAGGGCATCGGGCATAAAACAAGAGTGAAATGAAGACCCCCTTCTATTTCCATCTGTAACGCCCTAACCCTGTGTTGGGGCTGGAGTTAGAGTCTTTATGCAGGTAGCAATAGGGTACTGGGCTGGGAGAGACAGCATGGGGACACAAAGAGAGGCAGG